CACCGAAGAGTAGAGGAGAAGGTGCACCGAAGAAGAAGAGGAAGAAGAAGAAGGAGAAGAAAAAAAGAGAAGAAGTAGAAGAAGGAGGGAGGAGTTGCGCAGGAGTAGGAGAGGTGATCGTGTGGTAGAAGGAGGCGCGCAGGGAGGATGTGCAAGCATGTGTGGTAGAAGGAGGCGCGGGGAGGATGCGCAGCGTGCGGGAGAGTGCGCGCAAAGACTGGAAGAGCGAGCGCGGGGGTAGCAGGAAAGGAAGTGCGCGGAGGGGAGGAAGATGGCCACGCGTGTAGAGAAGTAGTATAGTAGAAGAAGGAGAAGAAGAAGAAGAAGAGAGAAGAAGATGAAGAAGAGAAGAAGAGGAAGGAGAAGGAGGAGAGGGGGAGTAGAGAAGGGCACCTACCTGGCCGTACGGCCAAACGATTGCAACGACGACTCCGACGGACGACGACGACGGCTCCAACGACGACGGTGACGACGACGGGGGAGCGATATAGAGAACAAGTTAGCTTCAATCTCACGGCTTACCTCATGGTACCTCCATCGATAGGATAAACAAAATAAAATAAATAAATAAATAAATAAATAAATAAATAAATAAATAAATGAATAAACTCGAACGAATCTACTACTAGAAAGTGGAAAGATTCATTACTATACATGTGTATGCATGTGTGAACGAAGAGTACTTTCGATCGATTATTGGGAGAAATCGATCGAATCTCCCACTACTACTATCAGGTGTTACACACGTATGTGTGTGTGTGTGCGTGTGTGTGTGTGTGTGTGTGTGTGTGTGCTTCAATCAATCCAAGGCCGCGGGCTAGCATCACGCAGCCTCCATCATAAGGATGGGAAAAATCGATCGAATCTTTCACTAACACATCGAAGTATCCACTAGTACACCTGTGTGTGTGTGTGCGTACGAGTGTGCGTATGTGTGTGTGAGAAGGAGGTAGAGAAAAGGAGGAGGAGCCGAAAGAGGGAAACTGGAGAATGCTCGATGATAGAACTGAATTAACCTGGCCGCCGTTTGCGACCAGGTACATTCAGAACTTTCTGCTGCTGGTGACCTTTGCGATCTTCCTCTGCACACCCGCTGCCACCAACCACCACCCAACTACCACCGGTTGCCCTCCTCTTTGCTGAACTCCTGGATGTAAAGGGGACACTTGTGCTTCCCTCCTTTACCTACCCCTCTGCCTCTTACCTTACCTGTGCAAATACGGCCAACTGGAAGGGTAGGCGAGAGGGACAGAGAGATGGAGATACAGAGAGAAACAGTTTGTGGGTCATTACTTCAATCCGGAGAATGTCCTTGTTGCATGGCGGACGTGAGGGGTTGGGGATAGAAGAGAGAGGAAAGATAGAGAGGAAGAGAGAGAGAGAGAGGAGAGAGAACGAGAGAGAGAGTTCTTCTTCTTCCTCTTCTAAGTCCACCATCTCTTCTTCAGCCCCTCCTTGTCTGACTTCTTAGTATCTGTGGACTACGAGAGAGAGAGAGAGAGAGAGAGAGAGAGAGAGAGAGAGAGAGAGAGAGAGAGAGAGAGAGAGGGTTGTGACTCGAGACTTGACGACATTGGATCCGGACTCGACATGGGGACTCAAAATTTGGAAGGGGATTATTTGGGACCTGCAACGGGACTTGGTGTTGACTACTTTCCCATCTCCTCCTTCCTCTTCTTCGTCTGATACCCTTCTCTTCGTTTGTGTATGTCTGACCTGGCGCCTCCTTCCTGTATATAGCGCCAGGCCCCTTCACATCCGGGAACGATGGTGATGTATGTTGGGGCTGTATTGCAACATTGATTGTTCGGAGCATTGGTATCTAAGTTTCCCTCTACGCTATCTTGTGGTGTGTATGAAAGGTCGGTTCTTGTTCTGGTCTGCACCTTTACTATATGCAAAACGCGTATACGTAGTGAGAGAGGGAGAGATTGAGAAGGAGAAGGAGGAAATGAGAAAGATCGGAGAAGGAGAGAGAAAGGAGAGAGAGAGGAGAAAAGAGGATGATGATGATGATGATGATGATGATGATGACGTGAGGGCACTTACCTTGAATAGGCGATGGGCTGCATGGGCGACATCTTCAAGTACTTCGGGCTGCGCTGATGTCAACAGTTGCATTGTCTTTTGTAGTCTGTAGTAGCTGTGTAGGAGTAGGCTGGGTGTTGAGCGCTAAGTAGGGGAGAGGGCCAGGACACAGCAGGTGATAGTAACAAGAGCTTGCTCTCGTTCACATTTGGTTTCAGTATCACGAATCTCCATCGATGTTTTATTGGTGCAATGCTGCTCTCTGAACACCATGCGACCATCTGGCTTTCGGTTCGATGTGATGATGTAATATGGAAATGACATCTCGCCGTTTCATCACATTATTATTTATTTTTATTTTTTTATTATTATCATTATTATTATTATTATTAATATTAATATTATTATTATTATTATCATTATTATTGCGAGGCTACGCCCGCTCAGCCTCTTTGGGGCCCCTTTTTCAGCATGTCGGCCGCCCTAAGTGAAGGCAGGCGCGATAGGCCCTTAGGGCCTCGATTTTCAGGGTACCCCGCAACTGATGAAATTCAGACAGTTGCGCTGCGCCAGTTGGTTGAAGGCACCCAGGCCCAGGCCATATTTTGCAAATGTATCTGAATGGTGACCTGGGCCAGACGCGTGGGAAAGGCCGTGAGCAGGCTAAGGGCAGTTGGGCACATGCAACCATCAGGCCCTGGGCCTGCGTGTGAAGTCTGTGCCTGTGCCTACAGAGGCCTACTGGAAGCTTCCTGGACTGGACGCAGGCAGACCACTTCGATATAGGGAAGGGCCTGCCTCCTCATTCGGCATTGGGGTGATGGCTGCATGCTGCGCGAGCGCTGCTGCGCTATTTGCTGGCTRGCTGGCACTCACGCTCTCGCGGGCGAGCAAGAAGTAGCGGGCAGCCATAGCCGAGTTGCTCCACTGTGAGCTGGGTGTGACGCAGGGTGGTCCTTGGGTGCAAGTGGCATCTGTGTGGTGTGGATCGGGGTTGTGAGTGTTGCGAGAGACATACCTTGTGCTGCAAGCGTGCGGCATTGTGCGCTGTATACTCGTACTTCAGGAAGCTGTTGTTGTCAACATCGACATTGTAGTATTAGGCTAGATAGGATCTGCCACAAGTGGTCTGGGCGCCGAGCGCCAATAGGATATCAACTCTTGTTCTTCGTTGATGATGATGAGAGACYRTTTYAGCATTGTCAATTACRAACTAYTGDTGTGTTCTGATTTGGTGAATCTCGTGATGCATGACTGCTGTTGGTTCGAGGTCAAGACTATCTGGACACATATGTATGATGCTTTTTGATTGCTGGAGTTCGCTAATGCTCATCTTCCTTGCAATTTGGTATCGGAGCTGTGGTTCGGTGCGCTCATCTGGCACTTGTCTCTTTCCTTACGCAGTATATACGTGCGGTCTGCTACGTGAGTGGGCTGTGATTGGTGTGTAGTGAGGAGGGGAAGTGACGAGTATTGGCGACCCAGGTGGTGAAGGGCATCGCCTGGAAGGCTAAGTGTAAAAATTGGGTGTTCACAGTGTGATGAGAACTATCTGTTGGGTGATTGAGGCTGAGGTGGAACGGCGAGACAATGCTGGTTGTGCCGAGGCTGTGATTGGTCATCGCAATCATCTTCAGATCATCTGGTGAGACTATCTCTGTGGTTGGGGGCAGCTTGAATGAGGTACGTTGCTCTTAACCTTATCTACCCTCTTCATCATTTCTTACCGTGAGGTTGTGAGTTCTGTCTTGAGAGTCCTCTCATCGTGAGGTGTCGTGTGCACTCAACCTTGAGAGTCGTGATTGTTCACATGGAGCATCTGGGGGAAGACCAGCGAAGCTTCTTGAAGGGCCCTGGACGAAGCACTCGGGTCACGGTCACCATGCCAACCCGCTGGGACTAGTACACGCATGCTTTGCTGCAAGTCATTGGTTCTGCTGCTTGCGCAAGATAGGGGTTAACTCGAGTATGGCAGCCACTTAAGACGCTTACCAGACCATCTATAAACATTTCTGGTTGGGGACTCGACTCTGATCTGGCTGTGATCGTCGTCCGGCTGCGACGTAAAATAATTCCTGGAGTCACTTGGGGGCGGGCGTTACATTGCCTCTTGATCAGCCAGATCAACCGAGTGTAAGGCTCGTCGACGTACGAGGATAAATAAGAGTGTTGTGGCTGCCTTGCTCGACGATAACCTGGGGCACAGGGGTGGGACCGGATTGCACACCTTCAGACACGCTTGGCTTATGATGCTTAGGGACGTGACACCGTGACATTGAGAAGAACTGTGGGAGGGGTAGGTTCCAGGTGATAAGTTCAGGTTTAAATTCCATGCTATGAACAGACCCAGTCAGTCAACATTATTTTTATTTTGATTAGTTAGATGGACAACCATGTAAGATCTGACAGACAACATTAGTTTAGAATATTGTTTATTCCTGATGCTTCCTCTGTTTGAGAACTAATCTTACTAAAAATAGTATTGACGGTAGGAATCTGACTTACCTGTTGACCCCAAATGAGATCTGTTCCAAAAATAGCCACCACTGAATAGTTGGTCTGTGCACTATGTTGCGGTAGGCATCTAGAATGATCTAGTGCAGACATTGCACAGTGTTGTAGTCCATGAGCGACACAGGGGACACCGGAGAGGACGACCGCAGGATCTTGCGATCTGCTAGAGGCTCGCTAACTCACGTGTCCCTAGGACCGGAGGGTGATAGGGAACTGTTCCGCCGGCAGAGGGAGAGGCAGCAGCAGCAGAGGAGAGCTAGAGCAACCGAGGCCAGCAGAACCTTAATTGGTGAGGCTGGTGCTACAGCAGCCATGGCTACCACAGCCATGAGCACGTCTGCGCAGTAGACTTCCCAAGCCGGTAGTTCATGCATCGCCGGGTCCACGGTCGCACAGACCGTGAGTCAGTCCACTGGCTTAGTGGTAAGCCAGCCCGCGGTGTTGACCCCAGAGGATGTCGCCATCCAGCAGGCAGCCCTGCAGGAGGCACAACTACAGCAGACATTAGGACAGATAAAAAGGGAGAAGGAGATGATGATTAAAAGAAGAACCAGGATGCAACGGAGAGGGGCAGACATAGAGCAGTTAGAGACGATGGACCTGACGCATATGAATGATGATGTGAAGGTAGTTAGGAGGGCCCTGCTAGGCGTAATTGAGATGCAGGAGCATGAAACTACCATCCTTCAGGACATTCAACAAAGCCTAGCCGTGTTGGCAGGCCGTGCTCAGGCAGCACCATCACCAGTCAGGCCTGGTGCCTGGCCCATGCCATATCCTCCTTTTTCTGTCCCACCAGTGACAGGGGTATTCCCATATGTAGCCCCATCAACGGTTGCAATCGTTTCCCTGGGCATGCTGCTGTCAGGAGGGGTAAGAACAGGGAGTAGTTTACAGGTTCCTATACAGACAGTGTTCACTCAGAGTCCGTTGCAGGTTGCGGTCACCACGCAGCCTGCTGTCTCGCAACCTGTGCAGCCACAGGGCACACAGCCCCAACAGCTAGCACAACAACCTGTATCAACGGGTCTACAACCCGGGGTGGTGCAGGGACCGGGACAAACTCAGTGGGTTCCGAAGACGGCCATCGCCGCTCCCAAACCTTTTACAGGGGACAAGAGAGGCGAATACCTTGACACTTGGTTGAGGGCGGTGCCGGTCTACGTCAGGTGTAAACTCACCTTGCCGCACGAAGAAGTGCTTGTGGCTGCATCCTACCTAGAGGGTAGTGCAGCAAGATGGTTGAGTGGTTTAGTTCAACTCCAGGGACACGGTCATGACTTCCGCTCTTGGGCAGCCTCTCAGAAACTGGAGGACTTCCTAAAGATGGTGGAAGTGAGATGGCATGATCCTCAGGAGGCCCAAAAGGCCACTGATGCGATCCTAAAACTGCACACACGGCAGCTTAAGTTAGTTAGGGAAGCCACAGACGCTGTTGAGCGTTTAATCTGTGTCCCAGGTGTGGGCTATGACCCTCAGGTCCTGTTGACTTCGTACTTGAGATGCTTATCCCAGCCTCTCAGGAACCAGTTGGCAAAAGAGGCCAACATCAATATGCACAACTTTCCTTCGTTCAACAAGGTGGCCCTAGACCTAGAAGCAAAGATAGGGCATGGACAGACACCCACTACGGACGGGAGGAAGAAGACACTGCCTCCCAACTGGAAAGCGAAGGGTCGTATCATGTTTGTCGACAACGATGGTTCAACCATCGAGTTGGACGGCAACTTCCAGGAGGGAGTAGGTGCAGATGCGGGTGGTGAAACTTCAGAGGGTGGAGTAGTCGCCGCCATAAGTCAACAAAAAGCTAAGGGGACTGGTAGACGCCGAGGGGGCTCCCGGTCTAGGAATCAAGTAGACCCTAATGCTCCCCCATGGGAGAAGGCGGGTCTTTCAGAGGATGTATGGAGAGATCGGTGGAACCGTCAGACCTGCATTCGTTGTGGCCAATACGGCCATAGCCAGTTCAAATGCCGGAATAAGAAAGTCACCGATAAGATCCCGCCTACTATGGGGCAGGTGGTAGGATCCTCATCTCCCGTAGGTAGCAATGTTGCCAGTTCATCAGGCACTGCTCCGGGAAACACGTCAGGCCAGTAGGAATAGTAGTTGTTCCTACTAAGGATGAGGTGGTGGAGACACCCTCGCCATCTCGCATCATGGCCCAAGCTACTGATTCCCTTGTCGTCCCGCAAACGCATTCAGACCCATCGACCCTTTGCTCGGTGAATGTGTTTGAGTCCTTAGAGGAGCTACAGGAGGAGTGGTCTAGATTAGACCCGCTAGCTTCTTGGACGACACTTGCTAAAGCCCCGAAGGGTGAGATGTTCGTCAGCGAGATAGTCGTAGGCGGCCGGAAGACAGGGGCCTATTATGATACTTGCTCGACAAGGAACTTTATTATTCACGCGTGCGTTGAGAGACTACGCTTACAGGGGCAAGTGCAGCGCCTGAGTCGACCTATGGAGTCGACCTATGCCGACAAGCAGCGCATGGTAGTTAATGACTATCTTCAGGACGTTGAGTGCCTGTTCCCGTACGCGGGAGGGGAATTGAGGCACCGTGTCTCATTCCTAGTGAGCGACGATCTCCCCATGGATATCTTATTAGGTATGTACTACCTCTCTGTGACACAGCCCCAGTTTGACTGGGACCGAAAAGTGGTCAAGCACACCCTGCCAGGTGGAGGGACCGCCAGATTACACAAGTTCAAAGCTAGTAGTCTGATCGAGTCCTACGGGTGCTTATGTGCGGCCGCATTTTATAATCATTATAAGCAAAATCAGGAGGAGGGTATGTACTTAGTCTATGTCTCTGCTGCAGGCGAGCCGGTGAAGATGCCGCCGGAGATAGAGGGAGTAGTTGCCAAGTACCCTGATCTATTTGAAGAGCCGACAGGGGTTGTTGAGAGGGAGGTTGTCCACGCGATAGAAATTATCCCAAGATCTAGTATTCCGAAGGGTAGGATCTATCGGATGTCTCCAGGCGAGCTTGATGAGCTTCGCCGCCAACTCAAGGAACTCGTAGAGAAGGGTTGGATCCGGCCCAGTGCCAGTTCTATTTGTACCTAAGAAGAAGTAGGGCACTCTCAGGATGTGCATTGACTATAGGGGCCTCAATGGCATCACTGTGAAGAACAGAGAGTCCCTACCGCGCATCGACGATTTGCTAGATAGAGTGCAAGGGTGTCGGTACTTCTGTAAGATAGATCTTAAGTCCGGGTACCATCAGATTGCAATCCGGCCCGAGGATCAACACAAAATCGCATTTCAGACCAGGTACGATCTGTACGAGTTTGTGGTGATGCCTTTCGGCCTTTGTAATGCTCCTGACACCTTCCAGCACGCTATGAATCGGTTATTCCATGACTACTTGGATAAGTTTGTCATAGTGTACCTTGATGATATACTTATCTTTAGTAAGATTGTCGAGGAGCATGCAGCACATTTGGACAAAGTCCTCAGTCTCTTGCGACAACACAAGTTCAAGATCAACGGTGAGAAGTGCGAATTTGGCCGCCCCCGTGTCTTGTACTTGGGTCATGAGATCTCCGCGGAAGGGTTGAAGCCCGATGACGCGAAGGTGACCAGCATTCGTGATTGGCCACGACCTCAGTTTGTGACTGAGATGAGATCTTTCTTAGGAATGACAGGCTACTACCGGACTTTTGTAAAGAACTATAGCATAGTGGCCGCTCCTTTGACCGATCTGACCCGCCTTGACACCCCGTGGGAGTGGACAGAAGAGTGCGAGGCTGCTTTCAGACATCTGAAGCATGCATTGACGCACTATGAGGTCTTGAAACTTCCTGATCCTTACAAGCCGTTTATAGTCACCACGGATGCCAGCCAATATGGCATTGGCGCCGTGCTTGCGCAGCAGGAGGGGCCGAAGTCACAAGCGGTTAACGGGGACCCCCACTTTTCGGCCCTGAGTAACCATGCATGATCCTGAAATTAGGGTTCGGGGTCAAATTTTGTGTTTTAAAAAAAAAAAAAAATTTGCCTGTTTTTTCTTTTGGACAAGCTTGCTGTGTGTCAAATTTGGTGTCATTAGGGTTAGTAGAACTTGTGCTGTTGATCATCTCGGAAATCTTGAAATTTCGATGAATTTTTTTTGGCAAAATTGCCTGAAAATGCACTTTTGAGGTGCTTATTTATGTGTTTTTTTTTTTTTTTTTTTGCTTTTTTTTCATAATATGTTAGTAAGAAGTGCACTCTATACATTGTTGTGGAGTTTGCTTGAAATGGCCTTATGGTTTTCTTATAAATTGAGGTGAAAAATGAGGGCTCGGTTAACCGGCTCTCGCCGAAGTTGAGGCCAGTCGAGTACATGTCAAAGAAGATGCCGTCTCAGAAATTGGCAAAGTCCACCTATGAGAAGGAACTCTACGCTGTGTACAATGCTCTAACCCATTGGAGGCATTATCTCCTTGGGAAGTTCTTCATCCTTAGGACTGATCATCAGACCCTGAGATAGATGAGAACGCAACCAATACTTTTCGACACCCTGAAGTGTTGGATCGAGGTCATTGAGCAATATGACTTCGACCCCCAATATTTAAAAGGGGAGTACAACAAGGTGGCTGATGCCTTGTCGCGTAGACCTGATTTCTCAGGTGCGCTGATTACTGAGTTCGAGTTAAATAACGACGTGACTCGATCATTGGTGGAGGCCTATCGAGAGGACCAGTTTATGTCAGAAATCACCCGCAAACTCATGCCTCAGTACTTTGGACCTTGGGAAGTCTTAGACGTAGTAGGGACAGATCCTGATGGTCCATCATATGTCATCTGTATCCCTGGTCATCTCAGAACTTATCCACTCTTTCACGCCTCTAAGCTCGCTGCGTTCGGGGAAACTGATCAGTTTCCCTCTCGTCGGTCAACGCTGCCCCCAACCATGGATGGAGAAGTCGACATCGATGATATCGTCGACCACAGGGAGATGCCTGTTTAGAAGCCTCCGGGAAGGGGACATCCTCCAAAGCCAAAGTTGCAGTTCCGTGTCTACTTCAGACATCACACAGATCCGAAGGAGGGCCGCTGGTTTACTCGGGAGGAATTGATGCAGACCGCTCCTCAAATCGTTGCCCGCTATGAGAAGGATGTATTGAAAGGAAAGCGCCAGATGGCTCAAGATTTATCTTCTCAGAGGACTAACGAAGATATGGAGGAGGGAATGCGAGGCTACGCCCGCTCAGCCTCTTTGGGGCCCCTGTTTCAGCATGTCGGCCGCCCTAAGTGAAGGCAGGCGCGACAGGCCATCAGGGCCTAGATTTTCAGGGTACCCCGCAACTGATGAAATTTAGACAGTTGCGCTGCGCCAGTTGGTTGAAGGCGCCCAGGCCCAAGCCATATTTTGCAAATGTATCTGAATGGTGACCTGGGCCAGACGCGTGGGAAAGGCCGTGAGCAGGCCAAGGGCAGTTGGGCACATGCAATCATCAGGCCCTGGGCCTGCGTGTGAAGTTTGGGCATGTGCCTACCGGGGCCTATTGGAAGCTTCCTGGACTGGACGCAAGCAGGCCACTTCGATATAGGGAAGGGCCTGCCTCCTCATTCGGCATTGGGGTGCTGGCTGCATGCTGCGCGAGCGCTGCTGCGCTATTTGCTGGCTGGCTGGCACTCACACTCTCACGAGCGAGCAAGATGTAGCGGGCAGCCATAACCGAGCTGCTCCGCTGTGAGCTGGGTGTGATGCAGGGTGGTCCTTGGGTGCAAGTGGCATCTGTGTGGTGTGGATCGGGGTTGTGAGTGTTGCGAGAGACATACCTTGTGCTGGAAGCGTGCGGCATTGTGCGCTGTATGCTCGTACTTCAGGAAGCTGTTGTTGTCAACATCGGCATTGTAGTATTAGGCTAGATAGGATCTGCCACAAGTAGTCTGGGCGCCGAGCGCCAATAGGATATCAACTCTTGTTCTTCGTTGATGATGATGAGAGACTATTTCAGCATTGTCAATTATGAACTATTGGTGTGTTCTGATTTGGTGAATCTCGTGATGCATGACTGCTGTTGGTTCGAGGTCAAGACTATCTGGACACATATGTATGATGCTGTTTGATTGCTGGAGTTCGCTAATGCTCATCTTCCTTGCATTATTATTATTATTATTATTATTATTATTATTACGTACATGACGATCTTGGGTGCTCGTGGCCAGGGTTGTCACGCGGCGGCCCCCGGGGGCGAAGCCGGGGTAGGGGTTTGACCCCCGGACCCCCGCCGCGGGGGTGCCCCACCCCCACCCNCCCCGGCACCATGGCACCCCCGCCCCCACCACCCGCACCCCGCACCCCCGCTGCTTTTTTTTTTTTTTCTGATTGCGCAGCCTTACTGCGATTGCTGACTACAGCCCAAATCCGGAGCAAAAGTTCTTGGGATGGAGGAGGGGCATGGGGGGTTTGGGTTGGAGCATCCCTGCGGCGCAAGTATGCTGGTCACCGATGCGCAGAAAAAAAATAAATAAAAAAATGTAAACAAATAGATCCTTATTGATATTTATTTCAACCCCCCTGCAAGTTATCCGAGAGGGCCCTGCGCACAATCAGCAAGGGCTACGTTCCCTTGAACGAGGTACTAATCACAGACATGCTGAAGGCATCGCACACCAAGTATATATGTTGTTGATTCACTTCAAGGTCCGTGTTTCAGCAGTTATGGGACCATTGAGCAGTGAGCACGCGAGTTTCTGGGCAATAGCACCACGTGYTTTTCAGGGCTTCCCTGCACTAAAAATGCGCAAAAGTAAAATGAAATTATGAATCTTCTGCTAGAACATGGAACTGTACGCCGCCATATGTTTTGTCTTTTGTGCAAGTGGTGACGAGTGAAGCAAGGCCCTGTCGTAGGGAAAGGAAACAAAACAAAGAGGGGAATGAATCTTCTGCTAGAACATGGAACACATACGCCGCCATATGTTTTGTCTTTTGTGCTGGTCACGAGTGGAGCAAGGCCCTTAGGGCCACTGCTCGTAGGAAAAAAAAACAAAACAAAAGAAAAAGAAACAAAACTTGTAACCCATAACTGCTCGAAAGCAGACCTGACTTCGGATCCAGAACATATATTGCTGGGCTGCTGGCTGCTGTTCTTCATACGAAATTTGYTGAACATCTCTTGAGATGTTGGGACCCTTGCATATGTACTGCTGGGGTCCTCCGCGAAAAAGACTAGGAATACATGGGCCATTGGGCCCTATTTTTTTTTTTTGTGCAGAGGTGCACCTTTGGCACCTCAGCCAGCCTTCTCCAATTTTTTTTTTATACCCTACTTAGTGGGGTGTGTCCCAACCCCTCCCCCGGCCCCGCGCCCAACCCCTCCCCCGGCCCTGCCACCCCCCGCACACCCAGCCCCGGACCCCCGCCCCCCCCCCCGCACCCCGCACCCCCGCCCCCGCTGCCAGCCAACCCCGGCCCTGCACCCCGCTGGGCCCCGCCCCCGCCTTGCGCCCGCACTACCCCGGGCTCACGAGGGTGCCGGGGGGGGCCCGAGGTCGGGCCAAAACTGCAATTTTGCAGTTTGGCTCAGGGGGTGCAGGCTGTGGCTGCGCACCCCCCTGTACTTTTTTGGTCGGGGCCAGGGGTGCTGACCCCCGGCCCCCGGGACCCCGGGGCCGGGGCTCGACAACCTTGCTCGTGGCATCTATGCGTTGGGGACGGAGGTTGTCAGCGAGAACAAAGACATACCCAGCGCTGGATGCATGCGACATTGGTCGTTGTCTGATCGTACGTTGGGAAGTTGTTGACGTCATTAGCAACATCATAATCTAGGCTAGATAGGACCAGCCATCTGTAGCCTGGGCATAGGGCGTTGACGGTTATAGCCAGGCTGCCTGAGGGCACAGTAAAGGTAAAGGGCGAGGGTGGTTCTTCGGAGGTGAAGGGCGATGTTTAAGATAACAAGGGAGAGTGAGGGTGAAGACAGAGATGTACCTGGTGGAGAGGAAGTTGGCATTGGTATTGACGTCATCACTCGCTGGTCGTCAAGTTGTCTGGTTGCTTTCATGCTGTAGTCGTAGGGACAGGCTGTAGAGTAGATAGGGCTCCTAGCGCCATTCAAGAGAAAGAGCTAAATTGGGTTATGTTGTTGGTGTTGCCCCATTGGGCTTGGATATTGACTCACGATTCTGCTGTATCGTTCTCAAAGGGATGGTTACTTGGTTCCATTGTGCTATCTGCTCTTGCTTTGACTACTTGGACATCAGTGTGATTTTGTGATTTGGATTTTTGTGCTTCGTCCACATTCATATAACTTGCATTTTCTTATTATTATTATTATTATTATTATTATTATTATTATTATTATTACTATAATCAGACTCGTATCATTCACACTTTTCATGCATGTGACAGCATCATAGCAAACAGGCGACAAACGCCCACTCAGTACTTAGAGATATGGCTTCCAGACAAGAGTTCACTTTCAACTGGCTATGCCAACTCAGCGCCCAACCACTCTCTGTTCGCATACATAGGCTCGCTCTTGATACCACACAGACACAACACTCTGCATGCCTGTACATACACACTACATCGATACAGAGTCAAGGGTAACAGGCAGGCAGACCAAAGGCCAGCAAACAAACAGGTTGGACGGACAGACAAACATGAACAGACTGGAAGCGGAGACAGAAAAGAACAGACAGGCACAGACAAAGGAGAAGGGAGATGAGACTGGCACGACCAGACTGTGACGAAAACAATTGAACACAAACTATGATACTCACAGTGGGACGCAGACGGGGACAAGCACGATAACACACAGTGAACCACAAAGAGACACACATACACGAGTGACACTGTGACACAAGCACACTGTGACACACACAGAAGTAACGTTGTGACACAGTCACACTGTGGCACATGCATGAGCGGCGCTGATACTCAGTGACACACGCGGATGAATGAACAGCAAATGGACGAACACGACAGACAAACAATCTGAAACAGACAGACAGTGGCAACCCGCACCGGGACGCTTTGACACAGTCATACATAGTTCTACACAGGGACACAGTGACGCAGTCT